AAAACAAGATTAATATGAATATAATAATAATTGTTCACATTAAATTATTTGAACATATAAAAAAAATAATAATAATCATAAACATTCAATATTTTATAAATTTAAACGAATAGGAGGTTTTATAACTYTCTGACTTTTCCTTAATTCAACTTCCTCACTCTTATCCTCTGTTCCCAATTTTACTTCTTCTTTTACAAACTCTTTATTACTTGCACTCATTGATATGTTATCTTTAATATTATTGTTGTCATTAACATTTTGTAATTCTTTTAAAACATAATCTTTATTAATTCCCAATCCAGCTTCCTCTTTACTCTTACAATCAATTATTTGGTTCAAGTGTCGCTTATAGATGTTACCATTAATAACTTTAATTAAATATGTAACAGGAGATAGATTTTGTATAATTTTCCCTTGTATCCACTTATTCCCTTCTCCATAATTCCTACACATGACTTCATCTACAACTACATATATTTTATCTCTAACACCCCTATAGTTTTCTTTAGCCCTTTCTAAACTTCTTGAATAATTATATTTTGCTTTGACTATTAACCTATCCAATGCTATATTCAACTGTCTCCCAATATGTAATTCAGCAGGACTAACTCCTGTCGAGCAATGATTTGTACTATTGTATGATAAGATAAATTTACTTATGTTATCCTCTATACCTGAATTTATCTGCACACTTTTTAAGAAACATTTTAAAGGTTTTCACAGCATTCTCTGCAGCTCCATTAGTCGAAGGACTATATGGTGGAGTTTYAATATGTGAAACACCATTAACTCTTAAAAATTCTTCCATTTCATATGAACATAAAGAAGGTCCATTGTCAGTAACTAACTTTTTAGGAATTCCCCAAAACGAAAAATATTCCCTTAACACCTTAATAGTTGATACTGTAGTAATATTTTGTAAATGTTTAACATATAACCACTTAGAAAAAGCTTCAATATTACTATGAACATTTTTCTATCTACAGGTCCCAAAAAATCTAAATGTATACGTTGAGATGGTCCCTCAGTCCAAGGCCAACTATGTAATACACTTTTAGGAGGATTATTACTATGAGCCAAACAAGCGATACAACTTTTTGTGATATTATGTATATCATTATCGATACCAGGCCACCAAATGTACGACCTAGCCACAGATTTCATTTTAACAATGCCCATATGAGTATGATGTAACTCATTTAACAATTCATTTCTGAATTTACTAGGTACTACTATTCTATGTCCCCACAACAAGCATCCTACTTCAATAGTTAACTCATTCCTACGATTGAAATAAGGCTTTAATTTTTTTTCTTGCTTGAGTCGACTTCTGTTTTACCGTTACTAATCGATGATGATCGTTTGGCGTTGCCCGTAAACCTTGTATACTTCTTCTTTGAAGCTTTATGGTAGTTGATTGCCTCATGGTGATCAAATTTTGAAATGTCATTATTAGCGCTCTCCATAGCCAAACTCAATTCAATACATTTTTTAAAAGTTAATGCGCCTTCAGATAATAATCTTTTTTTAATATTGTTGTCTCTTATTCCCCAAATAACTTGATCTCTCAAGGAATCATCTWACGCTGTACCAAATTCACAATATTCAGACATTTTCTTAAGYCCAGTTATAAACTGAATAACAGTTTCATTCGTAGCCTGTCTACGTTCTTTAAACTTGTACCTTTCGGTAATTAAATTCGGTTTTGGGTTTATATAACTTGTAAGCAAACTCTTGAGATCCTCATATTTCTTATCGATGGGCTTATGAGGTGTAMAWAAATCTCTCAGTAATGCATAACCATCATTTCCCAACTATGTTAAAAATAACAAATGTTTTTTATGTGTATTAGTAGTATAGATGTACCATTCCTGGCACAGTCCTTAAATCAGTAAAAGATCACAAAGAAAACAATGTGCAAAAAGATCAGACAATTGAAATGCAATAATTATTAAAATATTTTTCACAAAACTTATAATATTAATAATTAAAATTTGAAATGCAATATTTCCCCAAAAATATTTTTGACAAAACGTATGAAATTAATAATTAAAAATTGAATTGCAATAATTATTAAAATATTTTTTATTTTTTTTCGCAAAACTTATGATATTAATAATTAAAATTGAAATGCAATAATTATTAAAAAGAAATTGAATACCTTATT